ACATGTGAAACTATTTTCAGTAAGCTAAATACTTCTAACATCATGTACATACTAACATGAGCAAGTACCGAAAAGTCTACGCCTCAAGGGAACAAGCGCTTACGATAGTGCCATTACCAGGCATCTTCTTAATACGGGTCATGAGGTGGAAATCGCAAATTCCTTTAAAATTCTCAATAGATAAAAAAGCTTAATTCTCCTCAAGTTTGAGGAAGTTATCTCTATCAAACGCCTGAAACCCGATGTATATGTTCAGAAAGAAGCAGTCTTTCCTCGCCCTGGTAACTGGACGTCTTTAATCTCTCTCCTTCATTTGATTACGTAATCTTCGACTTTAACCTCAACCCAACCCTTTGACATAGTGTAATTTTGCTTGTCTCTTGTTTCTGTGATTTGAGTTGAACTCAGTACATTGTCACTCAACTTATTAGTTACCCATCATCTTACGTGCCTCTCGTCCCTATTACGTATGTACACATTTACTTTGTTTAAACTTGAACTCCTTGTACAAAAACTAAATAAAACACGTAGATCCATTAATGCCTGGATGGGGATTATCCATGAATTAGAAACTAAATAAGCGTAATTTTGTGAGCACTGTTCACTAAGTCAAAGACCTTCTGTCAGCTGACATCATGTGAAATTTGTAAGTATGTCAACACTTTTCTGTACATAAGCTAAGTAATTTATTTGGACTGTAAGCAGCTGATGAGAAACTAACGAAACAAACAATGATGGTACCATATAATCCTACAAAAACTGTTGTTCTTGCTTTCTTCAAATAAATACAGACTATCGGATAATTCCTAGAAATGAGAGCAAGGTATTTAGACACTGGTAACATCTCTGACTGCAGGATTCACTGAGATGGACCCTAATATCAAAGAGGACACCAGTTCCTTTAAGACACGTCGTGCTACTAAGTGAAAACAAATATGAAACCTAGGTCTACAATTAGCTGCCGATTGCTTCTAATCAATTAGCGTTAATATTCTAATTCCGGATGTGAAAATGGGATTTAATTTTATAATTTTGAATTAAGTGTAACATCACGTTTCATTTTCTACGTTCTATCATGTCTATAGGAAATAACATAAAAACAACAAACAACAACTAAATCTAAGTTCTACGTAAGCGGTAGATATATTTTGTTGTCTGGATACGAATAAAATAAAATAATTAACACTTCCTGTATTGTTAATTTAACACTGTTTACACATTCAATTTATCATTGAATAAATCAAAATACGATTGTAGATTTTTTTTTCTTTTAAAGTGTATTGTACGGTTGAACACCTATCAACTACTAACTGTATTATAACACTTATACATATATGTGCATTATTATTATTATTATTTATTATTATTATCATTATTATTATCAACATCATCAAAACAAGTATTAAAGCTAAATTGGTGCACAGTCTAATCATCTAGAAGGAGAAACATGGCAATATTTTGTTTCACTGTTTCATTGAAAGGGTATCGTGTAGTTATACTTTTCTTAAACTGTCAGTTGAATGATGATCTGTCTATAACCGGATGCATTTAGTAGCTAGTGTTATCTCTCCACCTATTTTATACTCTAAACGGTCATTTATTTAATCTTAAAATACAAAATAATAATAATCTTTTCATAATCTAAAATAAATGTTCTTTTTATCATTTGTTTATTTATATTATTTCCTTTTTATGTGTGCAAAAAAAACATGGAAAAAAATATTTCACCGACCATGGGAACAAAGTTTTTCCCCCTTCATTTCTTAAGCGAGGATGTATTTTACTTAGTAGTCGAAAAACAGAGGAAGTGGTGTTTAGTACAAATTAGTATTTGTACGTGTATTTGTTCTTACAAGTTGATGGACACGTGTGTGTGTATGTATGTTTGTGTTTGGATGGCAGTAGGGTCTTGGCCTTTGGATGGATAAGTGGAACGGGGTTTTGAATAAAGCAGCTAACTGAAGTCATCAGTAGTTATTATTATTGACAAATGTCAGTTTGACGAACCTGATTAATCAAGTAGTCATTACATGCAGTACTTATTGAAGTAACTCGGAATAAAAAACGATAAGGGGTTTCCTACTTTTTAGGTAGGAAACAACATACTATCGTAAATGGGATGCGCTTCACTTCTTTGCATACGGAAGTTGATGTGCCTCAACATGTTGTACTTTCACCACTTCTATTAGCTTTCCTTTTTTACATCATCTATCTTATTCTTCTGAGCTAATTTCATTGAATATGTTGAGGATCTGACAATTTCTGTTCCAGTAGTTTCTGCATTTGATTGTTCTGATGTGAACAGTTTCTTATCTAAGGTTAGCCAATGGTTTTACTCAATTGATCTTAAATTGGACCCTTTTAAATGTCACTTTGTTGATTTTAGTTTCTAACGTGAACAACACTTGCATGGACTGATTCGATCTCAAGATTATTATTATAATATCAACGGCACTGTGATAGGAAATAAATGTACTATTACCTATTTTGGTATCAGTTTCCCTTCAAATTCTTGTTTGTCCTCTCACATCTTATTGACTTCTAAAAAAGTATTTCGTTTAACTTATTACATAGAGAAACTGAGACTTTCTGGCATAACTCAAACTCTTCTCCTACAATCTATCAATTTACTTATTCTGCCCATTCTTCTTCCTTCATTGCTCCTTATTCTTCCCTAGGCTCCTCAAGAAAGACTGTGTCATACATACTATGCAGAACATTGAAGGCCGTAAGCAGCGGTAGTAGGTATGCCTTTGACTCAACTAATTGACATTGTTATTGATAGGCACTTTAGCCAAAGTTATCTTGTCTGATGCCGAACTTCCTCTCTATTCTCAAATTTCTGTTTGTATCTCTTCGGATAAAACCAGAAGAAATTTCATAAGAATTTATACTCATACAGCTAGCAAATACAAAAATCTAACCATACCATATTTAGCACGGGTTTCGTGTGAGGAGACATTTATCAGAAGAGAGCTTATGAACTTTCTTAATCAGTGAATGAACTGAACATATTATAACCAAAATTATTATTTCTGCTAACTTTCAGTTTTTGCGGTTTTAATACTTTTACTATGTCATATATTAATTTATTTGTACATAAATTGTTGCAAGATGCTGAAAATGCCATGCTGTATGAAAACTTATGGCTTGGAGTAAAGTGACTACTGTTATTATACTTCAGAACTGGAGGAGTTTATACCAAAAGAGATCTTGTCGCTGGACACCATCGTCTTGTGAAGTTTTCTAAAAGAAACACTGGATAGCTCTGATTTTCCAGTTTAAACTTTTTAAACCTGACTGTTGTGGTAACAACTAGGAAGCAACAGATTGTATTCATTATGGTATTTTGGTTGGTGACGACGAACAATGGAATCCATAGTGCAAGTTTCATTCTATTTGGGAGGTAACAGTTGGGTATACTTACATTTTTAGTGAATGATGGTTATTCTACTGGGAGTGTTTAAGGTGAAATATTGGGCTTATCGTGTAGGAAGATGATTTTGTCTTAAATTCAATACGTAAACTTGAAATACAGAAACCTGAAGGCTGTTAGACTCAGAAAACTTTGAATTTGTTACTGTTTAGATACATTTAGCTCCCATCGCTATCCCTCTAGTTCATGTCATCTTGATGAAGAACATTCTACTCTGTTTTAAAGACCAACTGACATTTTTTTCAGGAAATATTCATTTGACATTGTCTTAGAAACTCGTTTCACGCCTTATTTAGACTTTCCTAATGCATTAAACGTTGAGTATTATTAGCAAGAAAGCTTTATTTCATCCATTTACCTTGATTAACTTAAATACTTCTATTCACACGAAATGACTTAATGTAAGTGAACCTAGTAGTATTCTTTATCTCATTCTTCGAAATTCCAATATCTATTATTGTCTCTTATATCTCTTATCACGATTATATAATGAACTTAGTAAATATTTATCTCATTGAAACTGGCAATATTGCGAATTAATGGATTCTTACGTATGTATGACAGTGGCTGCAACATAAGCAAAAGAGGATGAAATATATCTGGTTGATGTCAGGTGATTTGTTGCCGACTGTCAACAGGTGACAGGGTATTGTAGCTTGAATCAAGGTGAATAAATTCCTGTGTATCAGTGTAACAGCAGAAGGAAAGACACGAAAGTCAAGGTAGAAATTCATGTGATCAAACAGCCATTTATGTTCATACAGTTTATATTCTCGAACCAACCACTGAGCATGTGATTTTGCTTTACATTAAACGACATGAAACAGAATGACCAAATACATATAGCATTCTGTTGCTAATGCAGTATTGAACTGTGGGAATAGTATTCAGATGGTAACACCAACATATGCAATGATTCTTACTGTGAGAATAGTATTCCGTTGGAACCCATTGTCTGTATCACACCACCACATCAGTATATAGCACATAGTTTGATTTAACTTCAATTTTATGCTAATCTATGGTGAGATGAGCGATACTTCAAGGTTGCACTTAAACGCAAACTTTAATTTATGCTTTCAAATTAACATGCTTTTAGCTAATTAATCAGTCAAAAATCACATACTTCAGGCTCTAAAATCTGTCGACTAACTCATCAAACTCAACTACTTTTATTCACAGATAATTTTCCTCAGTGCTTAGTCTTCGCTGCATTAACACTGACATAACAGAGTAAGGATAACTTAAGTAATACCTTTTTTCTCTTTCAAAACTAATACTTTACGTGATCTTTTAAACATCCATAATGCAGATTTTACTCTAGATTGAATCAAGTCCTACCGGAATGTCCTCTTACAGAATTGATTTACTTTCTTACCACTACTTCATTTATCAGCAGTGTCAAACAGTTATATCGCTTTAGAATATGCTTAATCGCTTTAAAATGATCCTACAGCATGCTAAGCTTTAATTCTCACATCTCGCTGTCTTTAATGCTTCGTATTATACATGTCAACTTCGATATGCATCGTCGCCTTAGAATAATCAAAAAGTCAATTAGGTTAGTGATAATGAGGAGTTTTATTTTGTCAGGGTCGTTTTTCTTTCTTATCAAATAATTTTTTTAAATATGGCGTGTCATTGTACATAAAAAATTTACAGAAATATATTTCAATGTCATGGTGTTGATATTTTCGCCAATGTATAGAAAAAATTACAAATTAACAAAATTACTTTGTGAAAGTGTTTTTTTAAAATAATGAATATCGCCCTACAGTATATTGTAATGAATAAAAAAAATGAAAAACGAAAACAAAAAGTGAATTTTTTCCATATAAAAGTGTCACATAGCAAAAATGGTTAAAAAAAGTAAGAAGTACGGATGGAGGTATTTACAAAGACAGGGAATAAATGAGCTCACCGGAATGTTGGTGTGGAATTGCTGGCCCTGACATTTAAGTGTTCATATATGTTTTAGTGGAAAATAATTTCTGTTGAAAATATATAAGATAAAAAAGCAATTCATTTTCATATCATTGAAATGTTTCGTTAGACTCGGATATCATTGATATCTCCTCTGGTATTGAGGCAATTGTTTTTTCTTGTAGTGTGGAAAACTCAGTGTCTGCAGGATTGAAATGATTCATAGAAGACGTAGAATGTTGACCGATTTCATCTTCTTCTACGCTTTCATGATTATTTTCTAAGGATTGAGTTGAGTCAACAATTGAATGAGTTTCAGGTCCACTAGTTGTTGATCGATTCAAAAAATCAAGACTTTCCGATGATGTTAGATGCACAGTAATATTATCTCGTGGAGTATACCCCGGATGTCCCATTTCCATATGTCGCATTAAATGATCTTTACGATAATAGGCTTTAGAACATACACGACATTCAAATGGTTTAAAACCGACATGTTTCAGCGCATGACGTTGTAAATTAGAACGTTGAGTAAATTGTGCTCTACAAATATGACATCTGTAGGTACCATGCTGACCTAAAGTGTGCTGTTCCAATGTATGCAATGATGGGAATTCTTCTTTACATTGGTTACATGGAAAACGACGATTTGAGCTGGTACGCCGTACATTTGTCAGCCGACCACTTGGACCAATCAGTGACCGTACACGGCGCCCCCCTTTACTTGGTGTATTTGGTTCAGAATGAGGTTGTTGTAAAGTATTATAACCATCATTATTACTACTATTAATGCTGTTGGTATCATTGGAAGCGAATTTCAGGAAAGTATCGCTAAATGCCTCACCATTGTTATAACCTGTAGACATCTTCCATACAGCTTGTATTTGACTAAATGCAGCTAGCTGTTTTTGATAAGATTCTAATATGTCTTGTTCACGATTGTATTGCAATTCATTATTGTTACTACCATTATTGTTATTTCCATTAATATTGAAATCTTTTAATGGAGTGATCGGTGCTGATCCAGCCAATGAACCACTGCGAGACAAGTCTAATACACCAGAGTCAGATGACGGACTAGTTGGACTCGAGGTTGACAATAATGGACTTGTGAAATTATTGATGTGTAGTAAATTCAAACCATTTTCACACTGTTCACTTGGAACATTATCACGGCTAGTATTGAAGACAAAGTCTGATGGATAAAAACACTTGCTAGGATGCAATGGTTTACGACGTGAATGGAAATGTGCACCATCTCTGTATAATACATCATCGCTAGAACGATCGTTACTATCATTACCATTGACTTCTTGTTTAATGCATGAATCATCAAAGTTTGATTTCAATGACTTCATAGGTGAACCATAATCTTCATTGAAGTACAGAGTTGTTGTACTACTGACTGGTTGATTGTTAGGAGTATTGGATAGATTAGTATCATTCCGATTTTGATCATTGTTTACTGATATGTTCAGTGTACCTTTGATATGTAAATTTGGAAAATTTGGAAAGCATTCATTAATAGCTTGACGTATAGCCAACTGCAATAGAGGAGCACATATCGGTAGTACTTGTGAGCCTAATGTACCTGAACTAGTACTGATAGCTTTGGTCAAGGATGCAGTCAATGCAAAATTTGGAAATGACAAAGTATTTGAGTTCTCTGATGGATTGGCACAGGTGGTATTATTAGTTGCAACTGCAGATATAAAATTCATTAAAGGGTGATTGTTCTTCGAATCACGATCACTGATGAGATTTTCCAAGAAAGATAATTCTGTCATTTTTTGTAACTGGAGGTTATCAGAATTCGGATAAAATTGTTGTTGTGGCTGTGCTTCGACCAAATGATTTTGCTGTTGACCAAGAAAGCTGTTCAAAGTAATTGGTACTTGTTCACGACTGAGATGATTCTGATGGTGGTGTCGACGGTCTGCCAATGCCAGGGCGTTTAACAAAACTGACTGGAGCGAGACACTGTTTTCATAATTTGTCATGGAAATATCATTAGATGGACAAAACATTTGACCGGGTGAAGAAAGAACTGGATGAGGAACCATTTGAATGCTAAAATTAAGAAGGCGAAATACAGTTAGTAATCCAGTCTGCATACAACATTAAATTTATTTTTTGTTGATAAATGAGAACACATGAAAATATTATGATATCCTAGTCTACTTGCATCATTCTGAGTAATAATAAACTATTATTAGCCCTCACAAAGTAACTACGGTTCTCGGAACATGAAAAATCTGCTCGAGTAATTGAATTGTTAATTAACTAAATAGTACAAAGTTCAAAACGTACTTAAAATATCATATGCTAGTATAAGGAAAGAAATTGGAACCACAGGGAATAAGACCAGTCCACCTTGAATTCCAGGAGCTTACAAGGAACAGATGACTCCTATTTTTCTGTATCACTTAGATGCATTACACGGTGATTTTTAGCAAACAATAAGATGAATTCATAACATTAGATCTAAATGACGGAACGACTAGTGTCACAGCTTAACATAAAGGATAATCGTTAGGCTCCACCACAATAAACTATCACCAACTGAAATACACCTTGAGAAGGCCAACACCTGATTACATGTCAAATCCTCTAGCTAGTTAAGTGGAAACATTAGCCACTCACTCAAGAGTGCACTCAAGTACGATTAGAAATATATTGTTGCCAAACATGTGCTAATTTCCTTTCATTTGCACAAGTGGATGGTACTGTTGTAAGAGCTGCTACCTTTGATGTATGAATTAGTATTTTGAAAATAAAGTGACCATAATTTGGATATATATTTACCTATGCATATATACTCTTACATACTGTTATAATTACTAAATATTAAATTATGAAAACGAGAAACAAGCTTAGATAGAAGTGCCTACAAGTCTAATGAGAGTAAAAGGATAACATCTTCAAAAGTCTAGCTTCCATCAGATAATACGTAAAATGGTTCTCTAACTAACATCAATCCGTGATCGAACCCGTAAAAACATAAAATAGAACCAAACACTTACCAATAAAGCGTGTATGACTGCAGATGGAGACAAATATCCTCAATAGAAATCCTTCTAAGATGTCGACACCTGAACAGGTTGTCAATACTGGAAAAATAATGAATAATGTGGAGGTCAATGAACTTATTTATATACCAATGAATGGATATTTAGGCGTTTATGAGTGGTTGTTTGTATTAACCAATCAAAATTTATAGCGAATTGTTTGACCCATCTTAAACAATATGGTCACATGCTATCATCGCAATGACATACCAACAATCAGACAAATGTTATAAGCATGGATACACATACACTTCAATTTTTCTACCCCTCTACGACTGGCTATATGACCTTTGGCGATGTGATTTTGAGTCAGCGAAAAAGGCATGAAACATACTATTAGTGATAACGAATATGTAATCACCAATAACATCGAAGGAATTCGACAATTTTCAGAGAAAAATAATAAAATTATGATTTCCACACAATATTATTGAGCAGTTTGATTTCATTGATATCCTAAGATGTAAACAGCTTGACCCTAAAAACACGGCAGGACATACCTGCCACGTGGTCATGCTCAAATTCACATTCTATGACTCTTTTTAGACACGAAGCCTAATTAGTTATTTTATATTTGAAGCAAACTGGAATTTTGTTGATATTTGGGCAGTAACAACGCCCAGACTGAAATATCACTCGAAAGCCTATCACCATTTATATGCACATAGTTAGATTTCCAACGCGTTTAAGGATTTTAAGTTTGTTTTGGTCAGTAACCGATAAACAACCATAGAAGTTCGATAAGCTATGGAGCATTTGACAGTTGATGTATCGTAGCAATTCAAACCGTGGACCGTGTTAAGGATAGTCAAATTATTAGGTCTAGTAGATTGGTATTCAGCCACTAGTGAATGCATAAATTCATCATTTCCTTATCTTAGTTTTTCTTAGTAGAACTTTACCAACAAAGATAACATGAAACTGATGAGCCATCAGTCAACCGGATCATATTTCACGATCGTTTATAAGATTTCATCACTTATTTGTGTTTATAGAATATTTATCTAAATATAAATCTGTGCTCTGTATTTCAATAATGTCATAAATGGGCATTGGTTATAAAATCCCCAACTGATTATTAAATAGCTATGCCCCCCCCCTAGTTTCAGATTTTTAAACAACCCCTATGCACAGGGTTCACTGCATTTTGTCGTAGGACATTCTTGTCATAGAAATACACATACAGGCGCGGTTCATTGGCTTAAACTTTCGATTTCCACCCAGTTAGCTCCAGACTGTAGAGCCTTTCAGCCTCTTTCAGCTTGAGCACCTGGATGGTATTATAAGCTTCCACACAAAAAATGTGGCTGACAGCCTCCCAAATGAGAAATTATTCTGGAGAATTGAGTTCTAACTTAGAAATGCCATGTAGTCATCCAGTAGATGATTTAAAAAGGCGATTGTTGATACTTATCATTGTCTCTTAACTCATGCAATTCATTCTTGTATTTGATGAGTCTGTCTATAATACCATCTCATGGTGTTTTTATAAGGCGAGTTTTCTCAACTTTCAGATAGTTAAGATATCGCCTAATGATATGTGATAAATTCTATAATAGGTGAACAAAGTTATAGCATTCATTATTCACCAAACTATCTGTTAATCATTGATATAAGAATAGAACTTGTGCACTGTGGTAGAGTATAATTCCATTGTGGGTAAATTGATATAATTATGAGCAATAAATTGTGCTCGGAAAGTCATCAGTAATTATTATTGTGTAATACTGTGAGACTTTATAAAAATAAATTTTACTCACAATGGATTTATCTGTTAATCACTTTCAGATTCATTGAAAACAACCAATAGATGCTTGAAACTTTGTTAAGTAGTCACTTAATATCAAAGTCTTTTCTGATCTCAGAGAAAAACCAAATACAAGATCACTCACGGGCAAGAAACCCTATCGGAGATCCATGATCCATGGAATCAAGCATTGAGGAATATGGGGAGTACTGATGATTGTTAAAGCTAACTGATAAAAGTTGGAGTATAATTTCCGCAAGATGATGGAAAATTATTAGCCCTGATGATAATGATTGTCAGCAATAATAATTCATGAATAATCTCCTTCCAGGCGTTAATGAGAACAAAACAAGTGGTTCAGCGAAGAGTCTCTTTATGGCCAATTCATTCACTTAGCTGTACAATCGCTATTATATATAATTATTTTTATGGGTGTGTAAATCATCTTTGTAAAACAAGTATAAAGATTAGTTACGGTTGTCGCTTACGTCATCAAAATATTTCAAAAAATGTGATGAATAATCAGATTGTAACTAGGGGGGAGGGCGAAGACTACTTTGAGTGTAGTGGTGATGAGTTGTCGAAAAATAGTTGTCAGTGTTAGTGAATGTATAACAGTGAGTGGAAGTCAACACGGTTGTTGTCATGATAGCAGAAGTAACTGAATGGTTTTCTTTTGTATACGTAACCCTGGTTTTTCCACCTGAATGGATAAGTCCCCGGCAATACAAAGGAGAAGAAAGCGTATTGCCTTTGGAAGGTTAGACTAGTTTGAAGGAGGCGTTTGTTGAAGTGAAGTGGTTGGTTTTGATAAGGTGTTCGAACAAGAAATGTTTCGTTCCTCTGGACTTTTGGTCTGATGTTCTTGTCAATGAATCTTGGTGGGTATCCATTTGGGATGAAGGTTTCTTATGGAAGATCCAGTTCTGCTTCCAGGGTTTCAGGCCTACAGTTACGTCAGATCTGAATGGCAAACGATTAAATCGAATTTATTTTCCGTTCAACGGGCACCTAACTGTAGAAACTTGTTTCTGACCGTTCTAAGTGGGTTTTCTATAGACTGGTCCTCTTAAGGTTCTCTTGGATTATCTTGTAAATCCACATCAAGAAAGGGGATTTCCAACTCGTTTTCCATTTCTGGAGTGAACTTTTTGCTGGATGGTAGTTTTTAAATGTTTGTAGCTATTGAATGGGGTCGTAGCTTTTGTCGCAAGTGATGAAAATGTCATCTTTTTAACGTTTATACAGTTTTGAAATATTTTGATGACGTAAACAACAACTCTAACTAATTTATATTCTTGTCTGACAAAGCAATAACAGCACTTAACATCTTCACTCCAAAGAGTAGGTTTGATACAACATGGAATCTTCAGCATCTAGCACAAATATGCATTTCATTTGCTCTTCACATTTACGTAGTATGGGAGGGGGTGGGTGGGTAATTAACAGGGCATTTACGTTGATACTAATGTTCATAAGAATGTGAAAATAAAATTAAGAATGAGAGTTAACAGAAATAGTGGCAACAATATATTGGTGATTGAAAGGATAAAAAAGGCCGTTTACTAACTGTTTCGCAATAAGTTAGTAGTTTCATATCAAGTAACGTATCGTGGATTTTTCATCGTTTTTCGTCCGAACATTAAGTCTGCGTGAGTTCAAGTGTCTGTCCACAACACTATCAACGAGTTAGTTTAACAACACGCCAATCGTCTTTCCGATAGATTTCAGTACCCTTCTCAATATAACAAAGTTTTTCTAAGTACCCAAGAAAGATTGAAAGGGGAGCCATAAAGGAGGATATGTAGAATACAAGAATTGACAAACAATAAAAGTAGAGACCGAATGATGTCTTAACTTTCTTGCATAGAAGGTTAGACAAAATATATTCCTAGAAATTAACATAATGTGGGATGACCAAGAAAAATTAAAGGAAAGACAACCCAATGTATTTAACAATGAACTTAGTTTCAACCTCAATGGTTTTTATGGTACAAGAATCACAGAAACGGACCAGTTCATGTAAATCACGTTTGTGTCTGAAAGTGGAATTGAAAATCTGGCATTCGAAGGGATTTATCATTCAACAAGGACCACTGACTAATTTCAAATAAAAGGCTATTCAGTTCGAAACACCCTCTATGGAAACAGTCAGATAATTCGCATACGTAACTGAATTGGTTTTTTCAGGTTTTTGATCGCGGAAATCCCCACAAACTCTTGAAAACTGGTTTCGTCAGAATTAGACAAGTTATGTTAGAAGAAAGAAAAAAGAAAAGTAGAAGGAATAAACAGCACCTTGATGGATACTGGCTGTAGTAAGTAAAGCAGTAGAACACTCCCTTTTATAAACAGTCTACTACTTCCTATCAGAAAAATAAGAAGGCAACAGTTTGCTAATCCAGCAACCTGTTTCTGTCGTAGCCAACCTGTTCAACACAACAGGCCTAAGTACAAAGTCAGGTACAGAGTAAGTAGGTACACTAGGCTTTCTTTATATTCAGAAATATTAACTGTCTAGTGTTAGCTGATCTAATCCTTTTCTGAAGTGATTGCCTCGAAAGTATTTAAAGATGTTTTATCGATCATTGGATTAATTAATTGATTAAAAGTGTTGTACATGCTTCCTTGTGTTGAACTACTTACCTAATATAGAGTACTCCAGTTCTTTTGTAACTTTTTTTTCCATTGCTGCTGTTATTCTAGTCGTTGTTGCTGTTTACATATGACTAGATAATATGAATCATATAACTCAATATAGATGAGCGTTTGTATGATCAGAAGTTCACACTTTCATTAGTCATCACTTCTAATTCCCTGTATTTATTCTCAAATTTAACTGAAAAAAGGAACTATGTCAACATTTTCTACTGACATCGCATAGTCACCTCTCCAAAGTCTAAGAGATTTTCCCACTAGAAGCATAAGTGAATTCTTAGTTTTTCACAAACACCCTATCACCAATATTATTCCGCTCATTTCTAAAAAGCAGTGGTATAAAATAGTAACCATAGAATTTGATTGTATATATTGCGTAATAAATGGCATCCTGGTTGAACGGTTCGTGAACATGAGAAACCCCTATCCAGCCAAGACTAGCCTATTTAAAATCGTTCATCAGAGTGTATCTGTAGGTGACTTTAAAAAACAACAATTGCTTTATATAATTCAAATATTCACTAGATTGGATTGTTAAACAGAATTTTGATTTATATACTGCCCTTTGTGTTTATTATAGGTGTGTTACAATATTCTGATCATTCTTGTGTAATGTTATTTGTGAGTTCTAGTCCATTCCCATAACATCAATAT